TGCCTGGTTGGAGACACTACAAGATATGGCTGCCAAACGATATCAGTGGCGTTCTTGTTGTCAGTTTCTGTCCAGATTTCCTGAGTGAATGTCTGGAGGTGTAGGCACCTCGGAATGATTGTGTTAAGCTAGCAATAAGTCCCTCCCCCACCCACCTTTATTCTTTTCTTTACAATGTGGCTTTCAAATAAGTCATGGCTGTACGGCAGTGAAGCATTGGTGTTGAGCACTGATGTCATGCTGTCGATGGTGATGATGATGATGATGATGACCATGTATTAACAAGGAGTGAACCTCAGCGTCATCAATTAACTCTAAACAGATAGGCTGATGTGACATCCACTGTAGCCTTCCCAGTCCGAATAGATTTATCTTTGGGTAGACCTCTGGGACTGATGAAGCTACCTAGGTAAGCGAAATTGTCTGCTACCTCATTTGGCTCACCCACAAACACGAATTTCGGGTTTAATCCCACTCAGTGTTGCAGCAGCACACTACAGTTTGCAGATGTGAAGAGCATGCCGAATCCCGGGACAGAATTACCCAGATTTTTTATTGTCTATATTATGATGGCGTCAGATCCAAACCGCCGTACTGTTTGCACAGTCGATATCTCAGACGAGCGCCATGGGAGCATTTCGTTTGCGCAGTCATTAGAGCCTATGAGTGGATCTTCCATGAACGTACTGATGACGAAGTTGAAGATGAAAGGGTAAACGTGACTGTTTTCTGACATCGCTTGATGTAATGAACTTAAGCGATAACCAACAGTGTCCATGAGAGTTGGCCTACAGCGCTTTAAGAATCTGGCAGCGCAAAGAATCAAGGGCAGCTTTCATGGTAAGAAAGAACACTACTGCTGCAAGCAGTTTCGCTGTTCCATAGTCTGTCGGAGTGTGAAAATATGATCGATTCATCCTCTTTCAGGACCGAATCCAGCTCGGTTTTCACGGATCTGTCTTTCCCTGTGTCCGGTCAATCTTTGAATGATAAGACAAGAGGGCTCCTTTCATGCCACAGCTAACAGGCTGCTGCTATGATGGTTTTCACACAGATGGGGATGACTGTCGATGTGCCCCATTTTGCGGGCGTTTTATCACCACTCCATATATCAGCAATAAGTTTCGTCAGTTGGGTAAACAGATTCTTCGTCTATTTTGAAGAGAGTTGGATACAAACCGTTTGGTCTTGGTGCCTTCCCAGGTTTTAGCAGGGCTACATCTTATTTTATTTCTTCTGACGGGCGACTAGGCTTTACATTCCATTCATCTGCATGCACTGTGTCCAGAGGTTGTGTTGCAGGGAGCTAGCTAGACTGTTGTTCACAGTGTTCGGTCGATCTTTCTAGTCTGTGTTTCTGTGAATGAATTGGTGAGCCGTCCTTTTCACTTATGGTCTCACTGACAGTTGCTTCCCCTTGGTCAGCTGATCGTATTAAGTGGTATCAGACACAGCTGTTTCCGGCGGCAAGTCTTCTTTATCTCCTGAACCCTCAGAGCTCTCGGTCCTTCCTTAGACTCTTCACTATTTGGTGTTTGGGAAATTCGCATGCGCTTTCGTACTTGTTGCGTGGGGTTATGGATTTCTTGGCGTCAACCAGGACCAGGGATCTCAACGATGCTTGGTGGTAATTAAATCGTATCAAAGTTGTCGGGCAACTCAATTCAGTTCAACTTATCAGCGATAAACCATGTACCATAGGCACATTGGTTCCAGCTGCTACAGTTCGGATCACCGTAGAATGGGAGTATGGGATTTACAGCCAAGCTTAGGAGGCGAAGGCTTGCTCAGTTTGTCCAGAAATTAGCGAGCTGATAGCTTTGATGCACACTTGCCACTGACTGCGCGATCGGGCCAATACAAGTGTCATTAACCATTAGTGATTTGAGTCCAGGTGTCCGCATCCAGGGAGACGGCAGTTGCCGGCCCGACTAAGTTTACTGGTTAGTGTTTTTGTACTTCGTTGCCAGGTCATACATTGTCCACCTCTCTGTCACATCCACGCAGCACAGGACTAGGTGGAAAGAGCTTTGCGAGACAGACGGTCTTCTGGGATGCGGAGTACATGCCCTAATCAGCGTAACCTATGAAGTGTAAGTAATTCATCTATCGTGGGAAAGTTTATTCTTCCTATGACTATCTGGCGTACCTCAGCATTGTTAATCCGATGTTCCCACAAGACGTGGCCAATGCTTCGAAGACACCGACCGTCAAAAACTGACATCTTCCACATGTCCTCTCGGCGTGAGGGCCACGTCTCTGATCCATAAAGCAATATTAATCGCACCACCACAGTGTAAACTCTCCCCTTGCTAGATAAACTGACGTCACGTTGGCGCCATAGGTGTCGGAGGCTAGCAAAAGCTGCCCCAGCCTTTCCGAT